AATGTGATGTGCAATAACACGAGACTCTAATAACATGTTTGAAGTGAAGGATAATCATGAGTTGAATATTTAAAACTTTAGGAACTTGTTGAGAAAAAAGGCATGTGAATCCACCTGAGTTCCAAGGCATTTTCAGCCTCTTCAAGTGCCTTGGTTAAGCTTTTGCTGCCAAAGAGAAATCAAAAGATACATCAAAATGCAATACGTCGAGTATCTTCCAAGTTCAATCAAGAGTAAGATATATTATGTAAGTGAAATGAAGAGAAAGTGAACGGGTCAAACAGTCTGGTAAGGGAAAGAGATGGAAAAAGTATGGCATTTAAAGTCAAGTGAATTTCAAATAAAACTTTGATATATATAGGATAGATAAGATATATAGACTATAGGATCAGGAAAAGAACTAGAAATTAAATGATTGAATGGACAAAACGAATTTGATGGTTGAAAGAATGTGAATCAATAGGGATTGAAATTAAAGAGAGAGAAAGAATGTTCAAAGCTGAAAAAATGACAGAGAATGGGAAAGAATAAACCTGGTTTGTAAGTCATGAGGAGTGTCCTTGTCACACGGGAGAGCTTTAGCCTTGGATGAAGGGCTGTATTAGACAAAAGCACCCCATATAAGAGAAAGAATAGGTTAGCACTCTCTGGTAAAGATTAAAGAGCAAATATTATCTAATCAAATTCAGCACAACATGTAAGGAGCTCAGTATTAGTAGCTAATCGCTGTGCAGATATTAGTCTGAAAAGTATGAAGAGACAGTACATCATTATTTTGGAATGCGCTACCTGTATGGAAAACCAAGGAAGCCCAAAGAACAAATGTCAAGAAATAATGGCAATTCTCAAATTGAGCAATATATGCTATACAGCCATCAACATAAGTAAAGTATGAAGTGCTCATAATCACGAGTTAATAATTAGTATATTATGGACAGTCCTTTGCACAATCCCAAATACAGCAGGTTAAAATATTACAATTAAGAATTAAAATGTCTCCCACACTAAAAGGGTTCCAATGACAGTGTCACATGATTTGACACCAATGTGACCTGAAGTTCTCATTACTAGGAGATGTTATATTTCAAGCAACAGTGCCTGCCTTTATTTTAGATCCTGAGTATTAAATTAGGACTCTACAACGTAGTCAGTCTAGCCTTAATACCATCAGCTTTTGGACCTCACTGAATTATATGAATTTGATGAAGCTCAACATCTATCTATGTCATCTATCTCAACCACTATGACTGYAATCAAACTTCTATAATTATGATGCCTGCAAACCTCCTTTCAAACCAGCACACAAATATTAAGGGTTTGAACAAACCTCATGCAATGGAGTTCCTTCACTTTGAAACCCCAAATTTATATCACTTGAGCCTCCAGGAAGTTTAAGATTGTTCAGGACTTCACTGAATTGAAAACCTCATTTGAAAAAACTATGGACATACTACCAATGTGAGCGTGATACCTATTTTGTTCCCTTTGCTGRCTAAGACTTCTCATATTTCTTCGTAAAAAGTCATTCAATTGATGGAAACACTTGGCAAAAAGGATTAATTGTGGCCACAGTTAGACATGTTGCACTGTAAGGCACACATACGACGTCAAGCTTTTTAACAGTCATACAGAAAATKCTCAATCTAGACTGACAAAGCCAACCTTGCTGAGAGACTATTATGGTCTAATTACATACCTTTCCTGTTCTTCATTAGACTGCATTAAAGTTTTTTCAAGCTCTTGCTCTTTGATTTTCTCTTCCATTGATTTCCGGTCATATTCTTCTTTAGAAAGTCGCAAAACCTCCTGCATGATTGCGTCTTCTTCATCAAGGGCTTCYGTTTGCACAGCAACTGGTGTTGGTTTTGGAGGCTCTTCTGGTCTGTTTCCCTGTGACATTTGACCTCGCTGCTGGATGAGCCTTAAAGCTTGGAGCTGTAGTTCAATGTTTTTCTGTATCATCAAACGTTTGAAGACCTCAAAATCCTCTGCTGCCCACACTTGCTCAAATATGTTCTGTAAAAAGAGAATTTTTGAAAGCGAGAAGAGAAAAATGGAGATAGGAATACATGATGGGAAAATTAAGAGTTAGATTACTTATGGAGAGGGGATTACCACAAGATAGGGGAGGTATGAATATTCTGGAAAGTATCCAATAATACAACATATTTACTTGAA